GCTGGTTATCAGTAAGCAGGGTAGTTACAGCTATGGTGAGGGTGGCTGTTTCAGGGCCCACAAGGGCAGGCATGGTAGTTCTCAGTTATTGCATATCTCAATGAAGGACTTTCTGTTCCATATAGAGGGTAAGGTCAGCCTCAGCTTGAAAGAGTGAACCAGGCTCCGTAGCAGCAATTTCTCATAGAGCACTGCTGTGTTCTTTGGAATTCATGTGGGTTGCTCCCACTGCTCTCAGTAGTGTGTCTAAGAGGGGCTGTGCAATGTCATTTAACCTTTGCCAGCTAACAAAGGTTGTGTAATGAAGAAGGCTTCCTTGGGTGTGAGGTTTTTCCCAAGAATGTGATGCATTAGCTCAAAGGGGAGGAAGAAAGTGTGCTGGCACTTTATCTCTTCTGTCTGTAGATCCATGCTGGCCAGCAGATTGATGAAAGTAAGCTCAGGATTAGCTTCCAGGATGATGCAGTGTTGCTCTTCTATACACGCGCGTACAGGACTTGTGAAGGCAACAATGTTGGTAGTAGCTTTTTGTGAAGTAGTGAGCAGGCCCCCTGGGTAAGTTTGTTCCCCAAGGATAGCTAATCCTGAATCAGGGGATGGAAGTGGTGGCATTATTCATGAAGATCCGTACACCTCCCACTATTTAGGATCTGCTCTAGGAGAAGTGATGAGTAGTGTGCTTGAACTTTTGATAGATCCCTTACAAATGGCAGCATCCCCACCAAATGGGTTTGTAGCTGGGTCCTGGAATAGATCAAAGTAACAGGTTGGGTGCGGCGCTGCAGTGCTCCCCATGGTGCCTATTTATTGGGGGTTCAGGGATATGCATTAGGGCTGGCCCCAGTCTTTCTGTGATAGCTAAGAGCTCTCAACCTACTAATACTGCTGTACTAGTACCTAGTAGTAGTCTTTGATTATTTGCTGCTTCTTGAAGTAGTGATGGTGGTCTTAGTGAGCTGCTAAGCTCTAAGGCAAATCTCTTATTACTGCAGCAGCTACCTATCTGCTACACCTGCTCTCCACTCCCACTCATTCCTTTTTACATCCATGTGTCCTGCATTGTATTGGTCCAGACCTTGTAGGATTTGCTACATCAATACTGTTGCACCATCTCTTCCATCTTCTGGACTTACCTTTTGATAATGAGAAGTTATGGAAAGTGCAATATTTTTATTATTTTTACCAGAAGTTTTAGTATCAAAGTAAGCTGTTGCTATCTACTACTTCTTCAAAGATTTGTCAATTTGGCCTCATACCAGTACTACTAGTACTAATAGAACTAGTACAATTTAAAATGTGTAGTACTATCAGCTAGCAGTACTAGTACTCTGGTAGTAGTAGTAGCTAGCTACCAGCAGCACTTGGAATTCTTTGTAAGAACATTTGTTTCTCACCCTACTACTACTCAAAATTCTAGAATCAACATAGTAGAGAGTTCTTCCTGCAATATCAGCATCAAGCCTTGTTGTTTGCAATTGGCTGCTGATCATCTGTACCACTCTATCTTTCCAAAGGGGTAAACCTTGTTTGAAGAGCAAGATCATTCTACTTTCTTGTTGCAGCAACTGCCAATGTTGGAAATTGATTCTTATTATTTTCCCACCATTTCAAGAGGATTGGACTGTTGGGTCTTATTGCTTTTCTTCTAATTCTCAAGCAGTGTACTAATAGGTTTAGGATCAGACATGTGTTTGAGTAGCTCCAAAATATACTATTCTTCCTTAGCAGTATTCTGAGGGTTGAGAGAAAATAACAATACTGCAATAGCTTGCTCTATTTCTGCTACCTGCTGCTTTTAGGGCCCTTCCTCTGTGTTGTTGTCACTACTAGTACTATCAGCAGAGGTTTCCACCACAAGATCATCATTTTCACTAGCTTCTAGTACTAGTTTTAGTCCTAGAAGTGCCCAGTTGGTCTCTTCAGCCACCATTGCATCAACTAGTACTAGTAGCACCACAAATAGTGGCACTAGAGCTGCTACCAATAGTAGTAATAAGCCTCTCATAGAAGGTCTAAGAATTAACATTAAAAATTGTTCCTGCCAAAGTATTTAGTATGACAGCAGGTAGTCAGCTGTACAGCAGCATTAGACGAGCATTCTTTTGGAGCAAATGATTGCACTATTCCAAAAATTATGAGTTTACTGAAGCATTGATATGAAATACCAGTGAATTGTGGACCATGAATTATAGTACAATTTTGCAGTAGCAGAAGTACTTATTTATGTCTCATAGTAATACTGTACATGCAAGTAGCAGTACTAGTACTACTAGCACTAGTACCATCATGTCATATGATTTACATGTTTCCCAGCAGCAACTTACAGTTCCCAGCAGTCATCCTACAAATTGTAGTAGTACTTAAAGTAGTAGTTGCTTCTAGCAATTGCTTCTTTTAAGATTAAAAATTCTACTTCTTAGTTCAAAAGAGCAATTGTTCCTCATCCCCATAGTTAATAAGATTTCAAATCCCACCATTAATAAGGTCTCAAATTTTAGGGTCTCAAACAAGTTGAAGACAAGCAGGGGCAGGATTTCAGCCAAACTTTGAGAAGCGCTATGTTGGTCAGGGCCATAAAAGTACAGAGATTAATGCTTGCAGTTGCTCTGAGGGACAGTACCTCCTTCCAAGAAGGAGGAGTGTAGGTGGAGGCACAACCATTGAGAAGGGGGTTGGATCACTGAAATATCTGATAACCAGCTCTGTAAATCAGCAAAGTACTAGCAAGAGTGTAGTAGTACTGCTGCCTAGTAGTTCTATGGTACTACAACTACCATTATTAGTAGTACTTTCTACCTGGTGCTAATGGTGGTGCAGCACTGTATCAATGTCTGCGCCAATACTTGTAAAGAATATTTTGTCTTTTGCATAGTAATTACTAGTCACATCTCTTTGTGGGAATGCAAACAACAAGAAATAAAATAACTTAATTATGCTTCTACTCAATGATCAAATTGATGGCTAGCTGCTTGATTTGTACTTCATATTCTGAGGTTGTTCGACTATATGCCACAATGTGTCCCCAGACTTAGTTTCTTGAACAACCCAATGAATAATAGTACCTAAAGTCTCCAAATGTTTCCACTGTGGTTGAATAGTGCTGGTAATTGTTAAAGCATTAAAATTGTGTAATGGGGCTCTACTGTATGTGTATGGTGTTTCAAAGAAGCAGAGACCCTCATAGAAATACTAGTACTACCACTGATTGCAGGCAATTAGCCAAACAGCAAGAGTTACTACTAGTAGTACTACTACTAGCTAGTACTACTGTTATCATCCTATAGGCATGACTCAGAAATGTATGATACAGTTGTAGATTTTTGGCCCTTATTTTTGTGTGTAATGACCACTTTGACTAGTAACAAACTCAATTGTACTACCAGTGCATCAATAAGAGTAGCATGTGGATGCAAAACTATTTAGTTGCAAGGCTGATGGGAATAAAATTTGAGCATATGCCCTGCTGTACTGGTAGTACAACTCAAATTTTTAATCCCACAAGTCATTACATGTAAAAATATAGCCCAAAATGGACGCACAGTAAAAATAAATGTAGAGTATTAACTAAGTGACATCTCACTCTAACAGATATAACCTGGTCACCAACAGATGCTTCAGTATGATAGGTGCATGAATCAAATCCCTGTAAAAAGATGAATTCAGTGATACAGGGGTTATAGGGGTTTATAGTAGGGGTTATTGATTATTGAAAGATATTCATGGATGTACATTGGGCATAAAAATTGCAAATAAATCTGCTTCTTAAATCACAAGGGCTATACAATACAACTAGTAGTACTTTGTTTCTACAACTAGCAGTATTAGTAGCAGCAAAATGACATGAAACAATACATGAGTATGGGATTATTGAGATACAGGACTATGGTATTCTTGACAGGCAAAAACTTTTAGTTTACTCAAGAATGATAGATCAATGCTGTTGAAAACTGCACCAGACAAGGTAGTAGTATGCTGTAGAAGCAACTAGTAGTATGCTGTAGAAGCAACAAGAAGTGTATTTCCTGCATCAGTACTATTACTTCATTTGATGCTGCAACTAAAATAACCATTCATATCAGTGCTACTACTGCAAGTAGTACCAGTAGTGCTGCTAGTACCAGTATTGATTGTAGAAGAATTACTACTAGTGGGCAGCAATCAATACTATTGTACCTATAGTTGGTATTTAAAAAAAGCAATAGATTTTTTAATCCTATCCACACAACCATGATCCTCTCTTTATTTGAAACACAATGGTGCACTTATTATGCTACCATTGGAGACCAAGTTCCAGCTCAAACCTGTCAGTTCAAGACTAGAACAGTCATACAGTTAAATTAACATTATTTTGTGAACTTTCAGCTTTAATTTCATACTCAACATCCAGCCCATAAGTCAGTTCCTTAACTATAAATTTGATGATGCATAGATGCAGTGACTCCACAACAAATACCACTACTAATGCCAGTAGTAACATCATTCATCTGAAATGTAGTAATAGCATCAGCGATGGTAGTAGTAGAAGTAGTAGTAGTAGTAGTAGTAGTAGTAGTAGTAGTAGTAGTAGTAGTAGTAATGCATGCAAGTAACAATTGGAATGTTAATTAATATTCAGAACAACAGATTTTGAGTTTTTCAAGAAGAATCTGAATATTGCAATTTGTTCAATGAAATAAATCTTGTGTACTTTTTACAACCATCAAAACATTACATATTTTCCACTCCCATACTACTACTCACAAGCAGTAGTGCTAGCTAGCTTGTGGTACTATCATTTATCATGTCTTTCTCAGTGCTGGTGCTGACACTTTTCTCATGAGTTGATTGATGTCAGTAGCTAGTTGGAATAGTGCTGTTTACTCAGTCTTAAAAATGCTTTTTGTGGTGGTAACAGTAGAACAAAAGTATTCTTCTTGGTGGGACTGCCTGCTAATGGAGGGCAAAATGGATGAATCATTGAACACTTTGTGCTACTTTTACAAAAGTGGCACCAGGCCTGTGTTATCATTTTAAATCTTGACAAAATACTTACTTTGCATCTAAAAGAATGTGAGGAATCTGCACGCCAAATCTGACATTATTAGATGGATTTGACCACTGAGTGTATTAGTTTCTAGTTTTGTAAAAAGAGTGTAAAAACGTGACAAAATGGGCATACACACTGATCCAAAAATCCTGCCTCTACCAAATCTGTTTCCAATATGTGTCTGTCCTCAGTATCTCCCCTCCTTGAAACACATATTTTGAACAAGAATGACCTGAAATAAAGTTTTCCATACAGGAGAGAATTACAGCCTTACTATGCTTCACTCTTGGTAACTATCATGTGAAAGCATCAGGAAATTAAAAATACCTCTTTAATCACTTCAAGTGGTAAATTTTTCTCTGAGCAGAAACAAGAAATCTGTTTGAAGGGGTTTTCTTACCATACTGYTTGTGAGACTCCAAATCAACCGCTGATACGGCTTCCATCAAACCATTTGTGCTCTCCTCTAAAATGCACCAGCCAGAAGGCAACATTTCATCTAGAGAAACTTCTTCCAAAGAGAAATTTTCATCTGTGGAATTCTGAAGTGTATAATACTGCTTGTAGACCTTGGTTGCCAATCACTTTTCCATTCAAAAAGAGATCAATGCAGTTGAAGATAAAGGAGTCATATTCATCCATGTATTCTGCTATCTCAGTGACGGAGAACAAATTAAGTACATACTATCAATAAAATTGAAACCTAGGGTTCTCTTGCTGCTCAATTCTTTTTCTTTATTTGCTTGGTAATTTCGGCATATTAAAACACTCATCATCCTGACAACATACAGTACAGCAGCTGCATTGTACGGCAGGGTTTGGCTGCAAGCAGTCTGAAGTAAACACTCCGACAAACCGAAAGGTGGAATCAGGATCGTGACGTTTGCAAAATGTCCCGGACAAGTCCCCAACGAGGTTGTTGCTATGGAGATAAAGCTCATCGAGATTACTCAATTGACCAAATATCGTCGGGATACTTCCCATCAAGTCATTTGATTGAAGGTCGAGTACCGTCAGTCTCGAAAGCAGTACGAGCGTATCAGGGATGGTTCCTTCAAATTGGTTGCTTGCAATATTCAAATATACCAACTGCTCAACTAGACCTAGTTCCTCTGGTAAGGTACCGGTCAAATCATTATCTTGTAGAATGAGTGTGTCCAATTCACGTAGCAAGCCAACTTCAGTTGGGATCGTCCCAGATATTGAATTTCCCCGTAGATTGAGCTCACTCAAAGAGTTCATTCGACCAATGGAGGGTGAGATACTTCCGACAAAACTGTTATGAGCAAGGTTAATGTTTACAAGACGAGCAACAGATCCTCCTTGTCCAAAGATGTTATTCAAGTCCCCAGAAAGCTTGTTTCTGGAAAGATTGACGGCTTGAAGTAGACCAGCATTGCTAGAAAATGATGGTAGAGTCCCGGTCAATTGATTATTTTCGGCAAAAAACGTGACCAAATTCCGATTGAGTCCGATTCCATGAGGAATAGTTCCATTCAATCGATTGTCCCTGATGTCTAAGAACATGAGAGTTGGAAGGTCTCCAAGCGTTGTAGGAATAGACCCTGTCAACTTGTTATCGTATAAGGATATATAGTACAAACTATCCTGGCCAGAAAGAGGCGGGATATGTCCTGTCAATTTGTTTTCAGAAAGCTCCAGAACTTCAAGCTTAGACAAATTAACCAAACTATCCGGAATCGTACCAGTCAAAGAATTGTGCAAGAAAGTTAGGAAAAACAGACGAGAAAGAGAACCAATTGTGCTCGGTAGAGAGCCGGTCACATCGCATCTTTGAATAGATATCATTTCAAGATTGCTTGCTTTTTCGATTGAAGCTGGAATGGTACCGCCGAGTTGAGAATTTCGAAGAAGCAGAATCCTTTTTATTTCTGGAAGATTGAAAATAGATTCCGGAATGGTTCCAACAAGCTCATTTTGTCGAAGATCGATCTCTTCAAGCAAGGATAACTTTCCTAATTCAGACGGGAGTGTTCCATAAATGTCGTTCGCTCTTAATTGCAATATAGTGATGTCAGTGAGCTCTTGTAATTCCCGTGGTAGCTGACCTCTCAAATTGTTTTCGTCTTCGTTGAAACGCGGATAGAAAGCGCCATATGAGAATAAAAAAGAAACGAAATGATTCAACAGCATTTGCGTCGACTACGATACTTGCGAAGGCCTGCACTTACTGATAACAAAACCTGTAATTTTATCCAAACTGTCACATGCAATCCCCACAGGATCACTACTGGGGCCATTATTCCAATCGCAAACATGCGACTCATCAAGAAATCCGTACTGGTCGATCCAGTCATTGCCATTCATGGCAAAATAAAATAAGGCTGCTATGAATCGTTGACTCTCGAGCTCTATCGAGCTACCGAGATCTAAATTAGCAGGATCTTTCGTCAGTAACCAATCATAGGCAGCATACTGCGGGGTGGACATGTTATAAATGCTGTCTCCTGATATCATGAGTATTTCTTCTTCTATTGCGCTCGAATATTGAATTGGGGATTCGGGCAATTGGACAGGTGCATCCGTTGCCGATGGGCTGATTTCTGATCTCGATTCAACTGGACTTGCCGTTGGGCTGTTTTCTGATCTTGATTCAACTGGGCTTACCTTTGGCCTGTCTTCTAATCTCGATTCAATCGGGCTTACTGTGGGACTTGCAGTTTCTTGGGTTTCATCCCTTTTTACTGACGACGAACCTTTGTTCCTTGCTGCTATTTCTATTCCCAAAAGAACCGCACAAATAATCGCAACAATTATTACAGCACCCAAACAGACATTCACGATGCATAATTTCCACCTCCTCTTTCTTGGATTGGATGTCATATTTGCTTCGGCATCATATTCATCGTTGGACTGATCTACTTGTGACGCCAACGCTTCTGGCTTTCTCCACATGCTGATTATTGACTTCATAGGTGAGCTGTAACCAATTTTTGGTTTAAACAATCCAGGTTTAGAGTTTGGTTCAATTTGATCCATCGCATAGGGTGCCACTGATTGATCTGTAAGACGTTCTTGTACCGCTCTAATTATCTTATCGTTATAATTGCAATCATCATTTTTCACAGTGCACGGAACCACAATGTTGTCCTCGATATCAACAAAATCTCGAGCTTTTTCTTGATCATGAGTTTTGGCAACATCAAAACCCAAATGTGATGATACATCATTTTTCCTATCATCCAATTCATCGTCCATCGAAGGATATTCAAAATCCAAATCACTGGTTTCACACTGAACTAGACTTTTACTAGCAGCTGCGGTTCGAGATCCTGAAGCGGCACTGCTGGAATCTACTTTCCCACCCTCGTATAAGGGAATACTGTTCTGTTGCTGTTTCATCTCTTTCTTAGAAATTCTTTCCTGATTAGAGCTTGTGCCAATGAGCTCTTGCATTCGATACTGAGTCGAATAATCACCAAGACTGCTAGATGTGCTGCCTTGTTCCGGTGGATTTTGCGGTGGGCACTCATCATATGAAGTATTTTCGGTATTATCCTTCGTTTGATGTTGTTGTCGAGATACATCAAGTAATATACGATCAGCACCTTCTTGCGGATCATGCTGTTGTATCTTAGGTGACGACATAGGCTTCGGAGCCCTCTCAATCGTCTCCGTCTGTACGTGACTCTCTGGGTCGTCAGCATAAGTGTCAGACTTTGGTGTTAGCATGCCGATATGTGATTCGAACCGAGAAGACTCTTCAACAGTTCTCTCTTCCTCAGGGTGCGGTCCTTCGTTCATCTCGTCTTCCTCGTATATTGTTTCCTGGCGTTCTTCGACTTCCTCATAAATTGTTGCTTCTTTCATGGCTAATTGGTATCTCTTTCGGGATGATGATGGTGTGAATTCACCCGCTTCCTTCACATAAAAATCTTCTGTCTCATCAACGTCATCCGATACTTCTTGTCGCTTTGCTCGCCAAGCATCCTGTGTCCGATCAAGTTCAACCAGTTGCTGACGGAGTTTCTCATCATCAAGACTCTGACCTAGTTCTCGAGCGTCCTCTGGCGAATCTCTCTCTTCTTCAGAATACGATGCGGTCAAGAAGGAACCAAGAGCTTCGGAATGAATGTTTCGAATATGGTCGTCGTTTCTACTGGATGGATTTTCTTTTACATTAGTATGAACCAGCGTGGGATCGTCATGTCCAACGACACTTTCAACATAACCAACACTTAAACCAGTCTGAAAGCTACTTTCGGAGCCTATCGATTTTGGGGATACGGCGTGACGAGGAGAGCCATGTAGTGGAGAAGTGGAACACTCCTCGGGGTTTACAACGACAGTTCGTTGTCGCCTCATAATATTCCTTGTATCGTCTTCGTGTGAAGGATGAGCAAATCAAACACGGTGCTATTTCAATTGATCGCCCTTATTTAGGCTGCACAGAAAGATCAATGAGTGAACTATTCGAAAATGGACCATCATGTAATGGATACAAAACGAGTAGCACCATTTAGTGTGGGGTAATGATTTTTTTCTACATCTTTTCAGATTTTGGCGAGGAAGAATTCACGAAATCGGTAACGGGCGCGCGAGCATGGAATTCACGAATAAAGGATCGTGCGCGGTCAGTCCTTCGACCGCAAAAAGAAGGACAGCCACCACATCGATTTTTGGTTCTCTTGAAAAATTCTGTTTTCCTCTCACAGAAGATACGGGTACGAGTATTTTCATCCACAAAATTCTTCTGCAAAATTATTTTTGGACCACTTGCGAGTCTCTTCCCTCCAATAACCTCGAAGAAAGGAAACTTTTGAAGGACGTGCAAAATGAGAAAGCGCGAAGTCGAAGAAGAAGAGGATTCCGAAATGGAAGTGGATAACGAAGAAGGAAAGGTTGATGCGGGAGAATTGGAAGGCGGCGTCGACGACGATGAAGGAGTGGAAAGCGCAGACGGGGCTGAACAAGACGACGATGCCGAAAATGAAAGAAATCCAGTCCTCGACAACACGTTTCTTGACTCCTTCTATGGGTTATCTGCTGCTGACCCAAAGGAACGTTCTCGGGAAGCACAAGCTATGCTCCATCACTGCCTTTTAGGTGCAAGTGCCAATTCCAAGGATGCAGCCTACGCCTTCCGTCGACTCTTAAACGGTTTATGCTCCGGTCGAGCAGCAGCAAGACAAGGGAATGCGTCGGCGTTGGCAAGTTTCTTGAAAATTGCCTTTCATCTCGGAAAGATGGATGAGATTCGAAGTGAAGCTACAAAAAGCCCTGATGATGGTACGTCATCTCTTCTAAATTACGTCCGTGATAGACTTCTTTCTGCTACCGATCCGCAGAGGACGGACGGAAAGAAGAAAGGGTCCGAAGAAAGGGACTACCAGTTCGGTAGGCTTTTTGGCATTCATGGAGTCGTCAGAAGCGGTATTCTCCTCCTTCCTAGTGATGATGATGAGATTAGAGATGTGGCATCTTCTCTTGTATCAGATTTAATAGAACTCTTTTGGGAGAAAAATTGGATGAGGGAGCCCGCTGCCCACGGAATCACAGCTCTTCTCAAATCATTTCTCGTATCCACAAATGAAGTCAGCCAAAAGATCGGACGTGAGATTGTTGAAAAAATTGTCATACCAAAGATATTAATAATCTCTCAGAAAGACAGGAGCGTAGAATCCGATTTCGAGTCATTATTGCAGACTTACCTGCCGGAACAGGTTGGTATTGGCGTTTACGTTCAGTCTCTGTACCAGTCAGCCGATCTCCCTTTCCCATTGAACGAGCCAATTGTTTCAACAAAGACAATTCCATGGATTGGTCAGGCTCTAAGTGAAACTAGTGCCATAGTGCAACCTCGAACTCATTTTGTATGGGACACGTTATGGTGCTATCTAACGGAGATGGTCGAGAATGAAAATTCATCGAAGAAAAAGACAAAAGGGTCCACATCGCCATCGAAATATGGTATTCGGGAGACCATTCCCTGTGGCGAGGACACGGTTCTAAGTGTCATTGAATCAATCATGCAAATAGTTGTCGAACAGAAACTTCTCCGGATGGAGGAGGGCACTTCGGTGTCGAAAACAAGTCACGAGCGAAGATCCTTAGCTCTCTGCATTGTTAGAAATTTGGCAGGTGCACCGTTTGTATCTTCTATATCTGGTCCCACGCAGATTCTCATGGATTGTGATGCGATCGAAAACATAATTCTTACTCCAGGAATTATTCGATCACTCTTCATCAACGTCATTTGTGCTGGGAAAAACAAGCGTGAATCTAGCCATTTACTAAAGCCGTTGGCACTCGATATCTTAAGTTCGCTAGTTGAGTCAGCTGCTGCATCTGGCGACACAGACCGGCAATTTGCTTGTCTCAAGGCGATTTCTAATTGTGACCCTCGATTTGACGCCCGTACGAAAACCAATGCAATTTCAAATCTTCTATCATCTTCCAATGATCCGGTAGACGCAGCTCAGTTTAATTTATGGGGGAAATACTTGACACATCTTGAGAGTAAAATTCTGGACTTATGTTGTAATACAGAAGATTCATCTGCCGAGGCCAACGGGTATGTTGAGCTAATGTATGCTTGCGCTAAGCATGTAGTACATATACCAAGTACGGGAGAAAAAAATAAGGATGCAGAACTCGCCAAATGGAAAGAAACTACCGCCAACAGGGTTATCGGGTTTTTCATATCAACGGCATTTTTTGATTGCTCCTCCGTCACGAGGCCAACGAAAACCAAGAAAGGAAAAAAAGGAGTTAATATGTCTCCCTCCGGCAACCTTGCTGTTGAAAGCGCAGTGAAAGTCCAAAAATGTCTTCAGGACGGACAGCAGATCGGATCTGGCATTCGGGCCATACTTGCTGCAAGATTTTTCAATTTGGTATCGGATCTTGCATTGACTACTCTGCGCGAGTCAAAAGATGATTATAGCCTACTCGCGGTGTTGAAGATAGTCTGTGAAAGCTGGGTCGAATTGGAATCCAGGAAAGCAAAACGATTCGAATCAACAGAGAAGGATGACGAGGAAGCTAGCCCTGAGAGCATTATTAATGAACTTGTTGGCAAACTTAATGAACTTAGAAAGAGCCCAGACGATGACAACGAGCAATCTCAGGCGCGCTGTATTACTGGCATAACGGCTCTAGCTATGACACTTCAGATTCACAGATTGAATTGTGGCTCTGATAGCGATGAAATGGATGACGACCCCGATGCCGATGAGGAGGAAGATGAAGAGAATATATGCAGTGCGATTGAAGAACTTGATGCCATTTCAAAGGATTTTGTAAAAGCCGAAGAAGCTGAATCTAATCCACTTCTTGGACTTGCTGAGGTATGTGCGAATATTCTCTCATCACCTCTTGGATCCGGCGATATTGGTAGAGGGGCAGCCCCCAAACTTGTCCGTGAGGCAGTCAGGTGTGCATGGCTCGGAGGTTTGAATCTGGCCTCTAAAATTGCAACTAAGGAGAAATCTCTTCTGGATAAGACAGTTGTGAACTTGTTGCTGGATGGAATTGGTGCATCGGCCTCTGATGATGCAAATCCTGAGGACGATGATGAAGCAGATGCCAATGCAGAAGATGACGAAAGTGATGGAGATTCAGACGATGATGATATAGTTTTTTCGAAGGCCGCAAATGCGTTGGACGACGATGATGATATGGAAACCGAAGAACCCGAAAATTCTGATCGAGATGATGACGAATCAGATATCGAACTTGATCCTAGCAAACTTCATTCAATGCTSGAAGACGACAATCTCGATGATGTCGATGATATTGTCCTGGAACATCACGAAGGAGCCGATGCAGCACTTGCGAAACTGATTAAATTAAAACAGGAGGCTCGGAAAGCTGGAATAGAAGCTCGGGAAAAAATCGAGTTGGCAAATCAGTAAGTAAAGTTATGATCTTGATCATCGATATGAACTTGAAATCCTTTGTGTCTCGTTCAAACTATCTTCTCACCGTGGAATGTTTCCATCTATCCTGCCTTAGACTCCGCTGTGTGTTCCTCATTGAGCTAATGTTGACAAAAGCAGATTCATGGAGCAATCTTTTCCAAATTAATACGATCCAGGAACTGGTAGTTCCGCTGCTTGATCGCCGTAAAAGAATTGGAAAGTCGACACAAAAGGCGATTGAAAGCGGAGGAAAGTCTGGAACTGACCTGAGGAAACAATTGCTACAACGTGTGACTAACTTGATCAAGCAAAAGTTGACCAAAATTCGACTCACATCGATGCCTCTTACATGTCCCATTGACAGCGACGCAGCTACGAGTGCGATCCGGCAAATTATGAAGGAAGCGAAGAATTCTAAAGACAAAGAATACCAAAGCTGCTGTAGCAGTAGTCTTATTTTTCTTTTCCGTATGATGCCAACTTCAGATGATCTGATCTYATTTGCTTCCACCGAATATGGAGACATAGTACAAAAGTGGTCCACAAAGCGAGGTAGCGGAGCCTCTCTACTGGAAGACTTTATTTCTCACATACCGGCGTTGGCACAGGCCTCACTTCACGGRCCTCTGATCCGTGCAGCAGAAGATGCCAGAAAACCCATCCTGAAAATGGAAGTTTTCCGTTTGTTGTCACTTTTGTTTGCAAACAAGTCAAATGCCGAAGGAGAATCAGAGATTGAAACACAATCGCGTGCTAAAATACATGAAGCTCAAGATGGCCTTCTCAGTATGATATACAAAACATTACAAGATGAAGAAATGGCGACGCCAAAACGTGCAAGGGGCGTTTTTATTGCACTCGAGAAAATGCTTCCATTTCTCTCGTCTCCAGCGTCCAATCAAGCTCTGGACTCGATGGCAAGTATCAAGATCGAAATAAGTGGGCTAGGAGAGAAACACGATGGTCTCAAAGTCATTGCGTCAAAACTAATCGAGCAAATCAATGTAAAACTTGAAACATTTAAAGCTGCTCCTCCAGCGATACCACAGGGTGAGAAAGGAACAAAACAGTCATCGTCAACCAAAAAATCAAAGAAGAAGAAGAAGAAGAAAAAGCTATATTGAAGTTAAACACAGTACAACCTCTAATAATAGACGATTGACTTAAAAGTTAGCTTAGCTCCTCCTCCGATTCAGTATGGAAACTGCGTACTCCAAACGGCAGTTTATATTCTTGGCTTTTAGCATGCTGGTAGCCTCTTCGTGTAATGTTGTATCGGCATTCAGTTCCTCAATGTCGAGAAAGGCATCCGACCCCATCAGACCGCCGATCGCAGAAAATAAGCCAAAGAATGAGTCATAATCCTGTGTCATAAACTTCGTAACATCCAGTAGACGATTGACGACTGGAATGTCAGAAAATGACCCAACAAGCACTTGGACGTCGTGGGCAAAGATTTTTGCCCCCTCGAGCCAAATATCAGGTGTTACCTGGTTGGAATCTAGTGCAACCTCAAGAAGTTTGTCTACTATTCGATCGGCAACACGGGCGCGCATTCCCAAAGGCGCGAAGGAGGAAAGGTGTTCTTCTACTATCCCTAGATCGTCATCCAAGCTTTTCTCTGGTTGAAGAATCGAATCACATGTTTCTTGAAAATACTGCAGGACAGTCTTTGTATCTTCAAGTTCTACCGTGATGCCACTCTTCCATGTCTTGGTTTCTTCGGCGAATTCAGGACTTGCTAATATATGTGAGGCTAACATCAAATAGTTCGCAAATTTGGCTTGCTCCATCAGAGTCGTCTCGACGAATGTCACGGCAAATTCATCCATCATAACTTCCACTAATCGTTCGAGAGATCTCCCAAAGCGCCCCAAATCGTGATCGCTTTGACTACTGACCGCCCGCTCCTTCGAGAGCAATAGTTGGGATGCCAATTGCGTTCCATTGATAATTTCAATCCATTCGTTTATGTTTGAAACGAGCAGTTGCTTTTCCGAGTCTACTATGCCACTAGTCTGGGGCGAAGCTTGCTGTCCGTTGTGCTGCTGTACCAAGCGATTTCGCAAATCCACCGAAGTCTCGTGAAGGGCATCCACAAATTGTGAACAAATGGGTACGGCCACCTCTCTGAGGTATTTTCCTGGAACCGTCAAAGTGGAGGCCTTCAACTGTACAGACCTAATCAGGGCACAAAAGAGTTCGGCTCGTGGCGAGATATGGCTCGCTAGTTGTGTTTTGGAAGTGTTGTCGTCTTCGCTTTCATCTGAGAAAAGCGTCGAAAAGACAGACTCTCGTTCTCGTTGAATCCACCAGTCAAAAAGATCATCACTCGAAGCAACTAATAGATCCATCAGGCCCGAAAATGGAGTCACGGGTAAATTTATAGTGGACTTTTTCACAGCTGCGGAATTCATGTTATCACTTGTGCTTGTTGTATCTGCTAACAGTTCTAKAAGTGCCGAATCAAATTCCAAAAACTGTTCTATCGATTGGAGAAGAGCTTGTGGATTTGATTTGGGACCAACAATTGCAGGATCGTCGAAAAACTTTCTCTGCTCGACCAAAACCCACTCAATCAGTCGGACWAGTTCCTCACAAAATTGCGAGGCCGATTGAGGGCCCATTACCGATACCACCACTTCAAATGGACCTTGCTCCTGCAGAAAATTGCTGTTTACATAATTCAATAACCATTCGGGAAGCCGATCGATTCGGGTGACTGTGAGCGGCAATTCGYCGTTATCGCCATTATTGCTTGCGGTATTGATGAAATGGAAGTACACGCGGTCCAATAGAGGATGAAAGAGTTCTAACATAGCGGTGTTGCCGTTTGTTGCTACTTCGACGCCTTCTACAGCATTTACAGTTTCCTCGTGAATTTTTTCCAATCGAACGACGTGCTGACAAATAGAGGCGAGGTGTTCAATGCCAGTTTTGCTATTCAGAAGATTTTTACAACCTTGTGCTGTTGGATAGCGGGAGGATTGCAATTCGTCTCGAAACAACGTCACTAGGCATTCGTGCACGTATCCAAACAGTGGGAGATATGCTTCTTCGTATAATGCCGGGCATGCATCCATGATTGTTGTAGCATGCTTCAAGATTACTTGATGTGCCAATTCTTCGCAGAGTTGCGCATGGGCCAATAACGCGTCGTGCTCGATGAAAACATCGTTGCCGTCCTTGTCGTCACAGCTTTCACCGAGTATACCCCGAGTGGTTTCCAGAAACGACAGGTAGTCTTGTGAGAGGTCCAACGAGTCGGTTGTTATTTGAAGCAAAAGAAGTCTCTCTAAGACGCTCGATGGTGTATCCTGGACATCATTGAAGTCTTCGCCCCAACCGTCCTCCTCCTCGTTTTCTTGTTGCTGTCGTTGTTTCTCCTCGAGCTTTGCCAAAGCGCTCTTGGCCGAAGCTAGTTCTTGTTCGAGAGACACACAATCCATTCTGAATGACCCTAGTCCCTAGATACGCATGGCGTAAAAGAGCGTATCAAAGATCGATTTGGTCTCCAGGTGTGAATGACTACACGAGTCCAGTTTCGACGATGGTTGTAATCTATTACGTGCGGTACCAGTTACCGTACGGTACAGGACTTAATGTCGGACCGTGATTTTCTCTCTGGCAAACTCGGTTTTTTAACTTGTTCTGTTCGGCTCTGAAGCTTGATTTCCACTTCGTCGATTTCAAAATGACTGACTGACTGATTTTTTAGCCAGGTTTCCATGGAATCGAACGAATCAAAAGCAATACCGGTAGGGTGTCGTACAAAAAAAAATTATGCTACACAGATTCTCATCTCGTTGAACACGGTAAGATTTCTACGAGTACGAGTACTCTACGGCTTAAGATTCATTATTTAGTAGAAGTACACAACTTAGGGTACTACCAGCTTCATTTTTTCAACCAACCAGGTCAGTACCAGTAGGTACCTATCAGAACTTCCAGAAAGTAATGAAAGGATAGGTTCTCGTGAAGAAATATGTGGTCGCGCGAAACAATAGTAGAAGATTCATCGAGTGAATTACAGTTCGAATTAGACTAAGATATTTACCGAAGTAAGTACGAAATTAGAAATTATTCAAGAAAAAATTATACACGTCATCATGGAAAGTAGACATCATCTTCGTTCTTTTTTAAAATTGTGTTTTTAGGTTATTAGATTAAAGCCTGACTTGACAACTGAGTGTACTTAAATAATATTTCTTAGCAATAAATATTAATTTCCYAAAGTGAATCTTAAGTGGGAGCATTAATGATCAGAGCTGGGGAAATTCGATCCCCAACTACCATTTTTCATTTTTCTAATTAAGTCAAACAGTATATYATGGGCTGCAATACGAATATATTATGGGCTGCAATACGAAGCTGACAAGAGAACTTGTACACGGGACTGTGACGTACAGTACGTGCAAGGAAGTCATTAGCGAAAAAAAACTTCATGATTTGGACGTAGGCAAAGACCGACGCTCTCGATTCATAAATCTGTTGGAGTTGACACCCCAATACGCTAATTGCAAACTAGTAGTACGAGAATTTCGCATCGACGGAAATGTCAATAAACTACTTGGTCTGGAGCCACTTAAAACATTCTTATCATCTCTGATACCATAAATCATGACCACGCTCTACCCCTCCTTTTTATCAGCGGTATCAATACTGACACTGCTGGGAGTAAATTGCAGTTGCTTTATCATCGAATCCCAGATTAATTTTCGCAAACACGTTCGACAACAGACACATATAGTCACGTCCAGTTCGACCAAAAATGGAGAGCCTTTCTTCGCTCCAAATAGAAACGAAGAGGATGAGGGCGTTCCGGCAAAGGAATATAGGAGACTTTCGTTCGATAGCGAACTTAGAGAATTGATGTACGGCGAAGATGACAACTCTCAGAAAACACTTTTCGGATCTACTTTTAAGATGGTTGTACCAAGTTCGTCCTCCATGGAGTTCGATTTCTTGGTTTCTGGTATCAGAGACGCCCAGCGTCGGACTCGTCTACTAAATCGACGTTTTTATACTGCGAGGGAGCCCTTTCAACAAAAAAATATATTCGAGGTGAGAGAAGTGGCCGTTGAATACCGAACCTGGTTCCGCAAACTCTTTTTGGTTTCACCAGCATTGTGAGCTTAACTGAATGATGCTAATGTCGATTCCCCTTCTCTTATGTTTCGATATTCCTTGGTTGCATGAATGCCTTCGAACTACAGCCACCCTGTCTCGAGGATCTGAAAGCTCCGCCCAGCGAGATCAAAGACGCTATTTGGATTTCTGTACCCTATCGCTTGCTCTCTTTTTTGGTTCCGTACTTTATTTTCCCTTATTTCATCGATTTTCTGGACAGATTTGTCACTATGGCGCCAGAGCAATTGTCGGGCATCACAGACAAATTTGGACCCGGAGTAGCCATCCTTTATGGTACCTTTATATCGCTAACACTCGCAATCCTTTACGAACGGCAGAGAGATATCCAAAAAGATGTTGCAGTGGAAGCCTCGCTATTGGCTCTGATAACGCGCAATATTTTGCATATCTTCCGAGACAATGAAGCCCTGGCCAAAAGAGCTGGTCAGGGTTGTGCGGATCAGATCCGGCTGCTTTCAGTGGCCAGTCGCGGTTCAGAGTTACTTTCCATTGTGTATGCGGATCCGTATTCAATCATATTGGAAACCATTGAAGAGCACGAACGAGCCCTCATGGAAGAGAATGCTGGAGTTCTCRACGGTGAATCGGGAATGATTGATGGTTGTCGGCAGACGTTGCAAGAACTGTTCACAATTCGAGGCATTCGACTGAGTGACGAATCTTTGGCCCTGCCACAAACTCATTTCCTAATAATGACAATTCTCACTAGCTTCATTCTGCTCGGATATGCCATTGTAAGTTTTCGGTATCGGTCTTCTTTTCGATGCTTCATGTTCGTTTTTCCTTCATCGATGATCAATAATGGATAGTACTTCTACTCAATTCTCATGACACGCCCTGCCTTTCTCGTTAAAATCAGAATGTGCTCCCTGTTGCTGTTACATTGGGAGGCGCATCGGCAGAAAGTTGTGTTGTCTTTGGCTTACTGACAGCAATATACATTATATTCTATAATTTTGCACAAGATCTGAATAATCCGTTCAGTGGGATTTATCAGATTCGCCGTAGTAGTACGGCCGCTCATCTGCTCCAAGCAAAGTGGTTGCTAGTGAACAATCCTCTCACTAAGGACCACGTCGATTTCGACGGACCTGATCCGGACGAGGGAGAAGAAGTGCTTGTTCATACACCAGGCATTGGCGAGGTGGTGTTTCCCAGAGATGAAATATACCCAGAACTCAAACATGCGATGAGAAAGTTAGAAAAAGAATAATGATAGCGATAAGTTGTGAGGTGATGACAACATGATCAGGAGAAGTACGAAGTGGGTACCGTACTGGTACTTTACCGTACGGTTGTGAGGTAGTTTTCAGGAAAAAAAATCCGTCGTAACGTTAGCTAGTAGGCAACGAAAATTCGAACCAAGTACAAGTACGTACGAAATGTACGTACAGCAGTAAAAATAGATACCGACTGTCCCATTGATAGCCCTAACTTTAATAGTATTCATGGATTAAACAGCTACGGTCTACGGTACGGTGAACAACAGAACGAGTACTCGTACCATTACGAACCGTACGTTCGTACCAAGTACGGGTACTTGACTGTTCGGTTGGAGAACAAAAGGTACAAGTACAAGTACAAGTACAAGTACCAGGTACTGGTACCGGTACGCACATGATCGAGAATCGAGACACTGTGCGTGGTACAGATCAAACATAAGTACTGTACTTGCTGTACATGCACGAGTACTGCTACTAATGCACCCTCCTCGCGCTCCGGTACGATCCTACGGTAAAGTGCGGTGCAGGTCTTGAGTCTCCAGTTTGTGCCTAAGGCCGAAGGATACTACTAACCGTAACATCGTATCAACGTTTGATCGATAACAATCTTTGATCCCCGAACTTCTTCCAGAATAGAGCACCACTTACGAGCAATTATATTCTTTGCAATCAATTTCGCACAATCTMGTTTCAAAACGATGGGTCAAGCTTCAAGGAGGAGGAAAGGCAAGGGTGGGAGCCGCAGTTCTACACCCACGCCAACATCGACGACGCATGGCGAAACTGCCGAAGACAACGACGAAACCATTGCGAAAGTTGGGAAGGACAGCAATGAAACGAAAAGAAGACACGGAGGAGAATCTGAGATTGATGATGCATCATTGATGGTCTTGACGAGCGAAAAGCGAAGGGGAATCTACGAATGCGATTACTGCCATTCCGATATCAGCCAGCAACCTCGAATCCGCTGTGCAGTTTGTAGCGATTTCGACCTGTGCCTGGAATGTTTCACCACTTCTGATCACGGAGCGATGATGGCCAGGATCAAGGCCGCTAATCAAACGCAGACAGAGTTGAACAAGGACGGCATTGAATCATCGTCGATCATGGACGTTGCGATTTCATCAGCGGCTGCCCACCACGAAGATCATCATGGTTACCGAGTCTGTGACAGCACGCGGTACCCCATTTTCCCGACAGGTCGAATCGCTGCACCTTSGTCAGTCCCCAGGGGCAAAAAGGGAGCCGAAGAAGGTGATGTCAAGGAAGAAGGGAAAAATGACGAGATGGCTGTAGACGGGGACGAGAAGAAATCACCCCCTGTCGGCAGCAAAAACGACATCGCTACCATTCCTCCACCCAGAAAAAATATCTCCATGGAGTTATCTTTGTCGGACGACCCGAAAACCATATGGACGGCAGAGGAAGATTTGCGATTGATTRATGCAATTGCAACCTATGGTTTGGGAAATTGGGTAGATATTGCTGAAGCGATTGGTGGGAATGGTTCTGTTGGAAAGACACCCAAACGATGCATGGAGCGGTACCTGGATGATTATCTAGGTCGATACGGTCACATTCTACCGCAATGGACCGTTGCTGACAACACTACAGATGATCTGTCGGCAGGTWCTGACTCAAATCCCAAGAAAACTACACAAATCGAAGGAACCAGTAAGRATCTCGTTTCTTACGACGCAGCGAGTACCGAAAACAACAACCATGCAAGCATAACTGATGGTTCAGGGGTTGTTCGAGTACAGGATAGTAATAAGGGAAATGACAAAAATGAAGTACAAGGGACGGGAAACGAACAAWCGCAACCCGACAGACAGAAGAAAGATAATCAAGGGGACCAAGCAGCAGCAGCGCTACCTTCAAAAGCTATAGCACCAAGCTCCGTATCGAACATCTCAACAATCAAAGTCATCGCGGACGATGAAGATCGAGTGAGAACATCAAAGCGCCGAAGTGCTGCGAACATATCTAGTAGTAGTTCTTCGCGAAAAAAACTCAAGGTGGTTCCAACACAATCTGTTCCTGGTTTTGAGAAGRTTTGGCCCAAACCCTACTTGCCATCAATATCGGGTGCGGTGTTGGGCAAAGAAGTAGCACGAGACCTGTCTTGTAAGGCTGAGTTAGCCTTTGTCAAGGCCACACTTGGAGCGCCGTCCAAGACAGAAGCCGACAAAATACGACAGACATGGATCGATACGAAACTTGGTCGCACTGGGGCTCCAACCGTGTTGCCTCCTCGACCGCACGATGCAGTTCATTTGCTCGGTTCAGAATTAGCAGGATTTATGCCTCGCCGGGGAGACTTTGACGTGGAATGGGAAAACGATGCCGAGGCTGCCCTGGCCGACATGGAGTTCATCCGAGGTGACAAACCCGAAGATAAGGAATTAAAATTGAAAGTATTGCAAATATATTGCGAAAAGCTTGACGAACGGGAGAAACGAAAGAAATTTGTTCTCAATCGACACTTGTATGACTACCGTACTTATATCCAGGACGATCTGAAGTTACCAGTTGACGAGCGCGATCTAATTCACCGAATGCGACTTTTTGAGCGGTTTCATACTCCAGACGAGCACAAACAATTTATCACCGACATTTTGAAAGCAAAGCGATTGCGAAAAGAAATTGCCAAACTTCAAACATATCGACGAATAGGTATTCGCTCCTTGGCTGAAGCAGAAATGTATGAACTTGATAAAGATCGACGTCAATTTCACAAAAAGCTGGAAATGGATGCCAAGGCGAAAGCAGCAGCACTTGCCAACGCCAAAAGTGGTACGAAGGGAGGAGGATYATCGTCCAATGCATCTAGTACGGGAACTTCACGCACTCCGTCTCAATTCAAAGGTARCGAGTCACTGTGGAAACAGTACCAACCCAACGATCGGAAACATAGACGGAGCAATGGTCGATCTGGCACTTTCCTCGATTCAATTCCAAGCAAATCCTCGGAAGGCACAATAATGACCAATGCCGATGGGACAAAAGAAGGGGAAAAGAAAGAAGAGAAACAAGAAGAAAATGCTTCGACGATCGACGAAAAGAAGTCAGAAATAGCAGTAGAAGAAGCTGTTGCACATGAGCCGAATCTCGTCAAGGACAATGCCGCTGTTGCGAACGAACAAGATGATCCAATGGAAGTGGAAGTCCTAGAAAAGAAAGAATTTGACATGTCGACAGCTCGGTGTAAAGATCTCTTGTCTCGAAAAGAGTTAAAACTYTGTAAACGGCTAAAGGTTTATCCCGTTCAATACTTGAAAATCAAGAAAGCATTGATTCACGAGTCGATGAAGGGTGGTTTGTTGAACAAAGATTCCTCAAACTCTGGCAAGAAAACTCTTATAATGATCGATGTGGAACGKCGAGGAAATATCATTGAATTTTTGGTCCGAGCGGGTTGGATCAATCGAAAGCTAGGTGATRCTGCCATGAGAGTGGTTACTCCTCAGCCTGCTTTGTGAAATCCAAAAGTTTCTTAACTTGTCTGATCAAATATTTGGGTAGAAAAATTTCTTTAGCAACACAATTGAAACGACGACGTATTACATTACTTCTCAATTGATGCAACAAAAAACATCGAGCCGGAATTTGGTACAGTGTTTGTAATACATAGWTSCATCMAGACGTTCTATGCTTTGACCTTGTTTGCTTGATAACTAGCTCCTTGATCCAACGTGTTTCGGTCCGGCATATCCAAGGAATAGCTTCTCCAGTAAGGAAAGGACCCTTCCTTTGTCAATTCCCATGCTCTGTCAAAGGCTACCAAAAGTTCGGGGGAGAGTGGAGAAGTGCTCTGTGCCGCTTGCTTGCAAGCTGCTAGGTTTTCGTCCAGCTGATCAAGGCTGCTTGCACCTAGCAAAATTCCGTCGAAATCAGCCACTAGCGAGGAATGACACAGGAGCCAACGAAATGTTGCATCCACCATTGATATCTCATCTTTTTTGCATTGTTCTTGAATGAGTTGGATTGCCGCAAAGTTTGCAGGGGTGTAGAAGCGTGGCAGGTAGTTTTGGTTTTTCTTAAATCTTCCTTTGACCACAGTTTCGACGTCGTTGTGTTTACCTGTAAGTAGTCCTGCCGCCTATATCAGCCAAGTATATTTTCGGTGATGGAGAAATAAAATGGAGGATCAGGACATTTTAGAAAAGGATGTATTTCCTTTCCAGATAACATAGTGTATTTCATCCTATGGAAATCTCCAAATTTGTTTTGTTGCTGCTCGAGTCGTTACATTTACTTACCAGAGGGTTGTAAGCAACAAAGGAGCACCCATTTTCCTTCAACAGTGGAAGAAGGTCCTCTTCCACAAGGCGATTGAGCGGATTGTAGAGTCCTTGATAAACAGTTGGAGGTGTCAGATCGTGTTCCTTGCACAATTGGAATGCCCTGGAAACTTCACTCGCGTGGTAATTGCTCATCCCGATTCTGGAAACCTTTCCTTTCTTTACCAATGAGTCAGCTGATTTAAGACTTTCAAGCAAGCTGTGCTCAGTGTCGGGTTGGTGCAAGTAATATTCATCGCAAGAAGTCGTCCCCATGGCATCCATGGATGCTTGGAATTGCCCCAAAACGCCCTCCGAGGAAAGTCCCTCAGGTTTGATCGATGGTGCCGCTTTGGTCCCGACCAGGCAATCYGATAGAAGTGCCGGATCGAGTTTCTGCAAGACTTTCCCTACAATTTTCTCCGTCTTCCCACCAGCATAAATTCTTGCCGTATCGAGACGGTGCTCGGTAATTTCCAAGGATTGGTCGAAGGCGATGAATCTCTTCACCATTTCAAGAGCTATAGACTCGTCAACGTAAGAACTAGTTTGAGACCAACCAAAGGTCATTGTGCCAAGGTAGGCACGAGGTATCGAAAGTTTCATGGTTGTAACTTTGATCGGTTCTTACTAGAGTTTTTGTATTGATGGGTATGAAGTATTTGTTTCAACAACGACAACCAAAGAAATAAAATCAGTATCGAATGCAATACCGTACGACAGAGGGGATTGCACGTTGACGAAACATTACACTCATTCTACCGCTATTGTACCATTTTGGCATGAAAAAGGATGAATGAAATCCTTTCCAAAAATTTTGATGTTCCTCTTTCTTCTGTGATCCCAATTGAGTAAAAAACGTATGAAGAACTAGAGTTTCCCGCATTTCCCAATCGCAGTTTGGACGTGCTCTTACTGCTCTTACAACCGTACAGTAGTAGTACTTCTACTATCTACTAGTGTGCAGGAGGTGCTCTGAGCAAAACAGGGAAATTTTCCGCGTCTGGCTCAGAGAATCGTTGAACTACTAAAAAATACTTTTACTTGTTTGATTCSTGAAGTGTCGATACTGCTACACCATCAAAAGGATACAACTCTGGAGTGGATAGACATACTGATTCTCCACGGTAGTATTCATTCCATTCGGAACGTCAATTGTGACCTCACATCATCAACCATTGAGAGCCAAGGGATCGTTCTCTCTTGCGGCTTYAAGTTCTACACATTKCAACATGATGCGTCATTTGATGCACAAATCCCGTCGAACAGACTTTGGGGCTGAAATAGGTAGGCGAGTTATGAATCATCCGATGGGCACCCGAGCGACTTCACGCGCATCGGCTGCTTCTGCTATTAGCAGAGAGGATTTGGTCAACGAAGCTGCATTTTTGACGAAGTCGCTGTATCGAAATTGCATTCGCTCGGTTCGGCTCATTCGATGGGGAAACGAATTCGACGAAAAAGAATTCCAGAAGAGAGAGGAAGAGTTTCAAAATCCAACCGCTGGAGGAGTTATGTCCATGGCTCCTCCCCCAAACAAGGAAGACGAACTCCGATCTCGAGCCGAATACTACTATTCTTTTACTAGAGAATACTTCACGCAAGARTCGGACTCTCTCGACAATGATCCCTTGCTGGAACGAGACATTCGTAGATACCTATATTATCTACGCAAGGGAGAGAAGGATCGTAAATGGTTACTGGGTGATATGATGTTTCCTGATCCCTATAAGAATTCRCTTGATCAGGATAGAATCAATCGATTTGAAACTATGTCGAAGAAGTATCTGGGTACAGACGAAGAGGAGACCAAAAACCCTCTGTTTGAAGATGATTCCAATGATAAAAACCATGACGAGGCGACATTTGGTGGTGATGACGGATTCATAGAGGACGAAGATCCAGAATGGTTTCAAAAGGTAAGAAAAACACAAAAAATATCGATGGTATACCATTTGCATACGAACAAGTTAAGCCTGGAATTTTGGATCCAGTGGTCTGATGCAAGAACGTGGACCGATCGTTTGATTAGGTTGCATGTGTTGTAAACTTGAAACAGCATTCAACGTATATTTCATTCTCTTTATGTTGTCGTTGCCTTCGCAGAAATATCCTCATCTTAGGTGATCGATACTGCAGCCATCGCGTAAAAATTATTTTGTGAGGGAAATGAACAAGAACTAATTCGGCAATGGTACTTGATTTGTATGTGTAGTATTCATTGTGCAATAAACTTCAATTGCAGTTTGCTYATTGGAAAAGTACAACATTCAYATCGGGTAGAAAGACGTTCAGTAACAAAGMAATCAATGAAGTTTCTATTTCCAGCTGAACCTTCGCGGGGACTAGTGGTACTTCTTGTGCTTCAAAAAAGTCTATCTTGATCCCACAGTAATTCGCGGGACAGAGGAGTTTCCTTCATTGTTACTACTACTAGTAGTATTGTGGATGAAGTTAAAAACGTCACCTGGAATGAAATATTTCTTCAACTTTTCTGCACAAGACGAAACGGGGAAATTATCATCCTCAGAATAGCCACTA